GAATAATAAGAAGAAAAGAGGGAAACGGGGGGTGGGGGCGAAGGGCTCTTGCCTCCTCCTCACTCCCCCCCCCCCCCTCCCCGCCAAAAAATAAATCAGAGAGAGAGAGAGAGAAGGGAAAGGGAAAGGGAAAGAGAAGATAAAAGGAAAGAAAGAAGAGGAAGAAGAAGAAAAGAGAAAAACGGGGGAAGGGCGAAGGACTCTTGCCCCCCCCTCCCCCCTGCCAAAAAATAAATCAGAGAGAGAGAGAGAGAAGGGAAAGGGAAAGGGAAAGAGAAGATAAAAGGAAAGAAAGAAGAGGAAGAAGAAGAAAAGAGGAAAACGGGGGCAAAGGGCTTTTGCCTCGTCCCCCCGCCCCCCGCCAAAAAATAAATAAGAGAGAGAGAGAGAAGGAAAGGGAAAGAGAAGAAAGAAAGAGAAAAACGAAAAAGAGGGAGAATAGGAAAGAAAGGAAAAGAAAGAAAAGAAAGGAGGCAAGAGCCCTTCGCCCCTGTTTCCCTCTTTTCTTATTCTTTTTCCTCTTCTTTCTTTCCTTTTATATTTTCTTTCCCTCTCCCTTCTCTTTCCCTTTATGGCGGGAGGGGGGAGGGGGAGGTAAGAGCCTTTCGCCCTTCCCCCGATTCCCTCTTTCCTTCTTATTCCTCTTCTTTCTTTCCTTTTATATTTTCTTTCCCTTTCCCTTCTCTCTCTTATTTATTTTTGGCGGGGGGGGGGGGGGGAGGAGGCAAGAGCCCTTCGCCCTTCCCCTGTTTCCCTCTTATTCCTCTTCTTTCTTTCCCTTTCCCTTCTCTCTCTCTCTCTCTCTCTCTCTCTTATTTATTTTTTGGCGGGGGGGGGGGGGGGGGGAGGTAAGAGCCTTTCGCCCTTCCCCCGTTTCCCTCTTTCCTTCTTCCTCTAATTCTTTCTTTCCTTTTATCTTCTCTTTCCCTTTCCCTTTCCCTTCTCTCTCTATCTCTTATTTATTTTTTTGGCGGGGGGTGGGGAGGGAGGAGGCAAGAGCCCTTCGCCCTTCCCCCGTTTCCCTCTTTCCTTCTTATTCCTCTTCTTTCTTTCCTTTCATATTTTCTTTCCCTTTCCCTTCTCTCTCTTATTTATTTTTGGCGGGGGGGGGGGGGAGGAGGCAAGAGCCCTTCGCCCTTCCCCTGTTTCCCTCTTATTCCTCTTCTTTCTTTCCCTTTCCCTTCTCTCTCTCTCTCTCTCTCTCTCTCTTATTTATTTTTTGGCGGGGGGGGGGGGAGTGAGGAGGAGGCAAGAGCCCTTCGCCCCCCCCCCGTTTCCCTCTTTTCTTCTTCTTATTCTTTCTTTCCTTTTATCTTCTCTTTCCCTTTCCCTTTTTTCCTTCTCTCTGTCTCCCCCAGCTAGGGCTGGTTTTGTTTACGAAGCGCCCGTCAGGAGAGTACACGATAGAGTACACGATAGAGTACACGATAAAATTGACGATATCGTGAACTTTATATCGTGAACTTTTCACGATAAAATTCACGATATCGTCAATTTCATCGTGAAAAGTTCACGATAAAGTTCACGATATCGTCAATTTCGTGAATTTCTTCGTGAAAAATATGCGATAAAATTGACGATATCGTGAATTTTATCGCATATTTTTCACGATTTAGTCTATTCGCGATGTCCCTTCAGGGCCACCATAGAATTCCACCATCATCCTCTCTACTCATTGTAACTGCTAAGTATTCCCCAGAGCGCACCTCCATACACACTACACAAGATGTGCAATATAATTATACTCATACTTCCCATATAAATATACATTTATATATATATATATATATATATATATATATATATATATAGCGTCATTGCACTTGAACCAGGAAGCCGTAACTATGTCAATATTCATTTTTTTTTTTTTTTTTGGGGGGGGGGGGGGGTAATGACCCATCAGATTTCTTTTGTTTTCCTTTTCATTCATCCATTTATTTCATTCCATTGCATGGCAGCATACAACCGAAGACTCTGGAAGTGACAAGCCAAAATAAAGATGTGAATCAATATTTATAATTTCAATCAAAATGCTTTCAATATTGGGTGTTACCATGAAGATCAAAGCGTCATTTAAAGTATTAATCTCCACCTCGTTTGGTCGACCGATTCATATTTACAAATCCATAATGTTCAAATTGCTCAGGGTTAATTAATTTGTGGTTAATTTTTGATTAACCATTTCATTTTTATAACTGTAATCAAAATGCTTTCCATATGTGGGTTGTTTACATTAATATCAGAGCGTCGTTTAAAGTATACATCTCCGCCTCGTTTGGTCGACCAATTTATATATTTACAAATGCATAATATTCAAATTGTTCAGGGTATAGAAGTAAAATTTTGATTAACCAGGTTTCCGTAGTCCCATCCACGGATGTTTGAATAGTTTAAACAAAATAAGAAAATTATTTACTTCAAAATGACGACAAAGACTTCGGGTACAATTATGTATAAATGCATAAAAATTTGTTTAGCAAAGTTTTATTCCTGTGAATATTCGTTCCGTACATAATTGTTGAACTCATCCGGTACGTAGCAGGATTGTACACATTTTTGATTATCATTATGATACACAGGGACAAATATTCATCAACATTAACGTCATCGATGCATTGCTTAAAAGGTATTACAGCACGATACAGGACTTAATAAAACTCTGGGACACAACGCATGCTTGTTTGTATTCAAATTCCTTTTAATATTTTCATATAAAAACCCAAATAAAACTCTTCAGTTGTTCAATGTTTTATATACAGAGAAGAAAAAAAAACCTCTATGTATTATTATTGCTGTGACGTCATACACACATACACACACGCACACGCTCACACATGCCGAACAAACATTTTCAAGTTTACGGTAATAGTTTCTTAGGCTTCCTAATTACAATGTTAAAGGGCCCATGACATCGAAATAAAAGTGTATTCATGTTGATGTGCAGTGCTGCATGCATCTCATAATTTGATATGTAAACTTCTGAATTTGTTTCATAGATTTTTGATTTTTGTTGTTGAAATATTTGTTTTTCAAACTTGCTAAGCTCCACCCCGAAAACCTCCAGATCTCATTCCCCTTGTGACATCATTCTGTCAGTCATCAATGAGCTAACTTGAGAAAGTGGTATGTATCTTTGCCGAAGTCAACCACCTGTTACAATACGAAATACAATAGCAACATACACGTTGCTATGTCAGACATGCTGTAGCATCACCATGAAGAGAAAGGCAATGATGATGTATTGTACATATGTATGGAAGCATGCAATTCTATTATGAATGTGTGCTAAGCTGGGGGAAATTACATACGATTGTCTATTCTAGAATATTAGTTTAGTCTGACATATCTGACATATCAACTTATATGTTGCTATCGCTTGCGGTATCGTAACAGGTGGGTACATGCCACTTTCTCAAGTTAGCTCATTGATGACTGACAGATGATGTCATAAGGGGAATGAGATCTGGAATTTTTTTGGGTGGAGCTTAGCAAGTTTGAAAAACAAATATTAAAAAAATATTTAAAAATCTATGAAACAAATTCAGAAGTTTACATATCAAAATACGAGATGTATGCAGGACTGTACACAAACAGGAATACACTTGTATTTCGATGTCATGGGCCCTTTAATAACAGTCCTATAAAAAAGGGAGGATAAAAAAGGAAAGAAATAGAGGAGAAGGGGAGCATGAGAGAGAGATAGGAAGAGAGGGGAGAGAGAGAGAGAGAGAGAAAGAGAGAAAGAGAGAGAGAGAAAGAGAGAGAAAGAGAGTGAGTGAGAGAGTGAGAGAGTGAGTGAGAGAGAGAGAAAACAGAAAGAGGGCAGCAAGAAGATTAGAATGCTTAAATTAGTTCACTGAACATTGAATAGCTATTTTAGCGTTGAACATTCTAATGAAAATATAAGCAAAATAATTTTTCACCACCGTGCTAAACTTATAATTAGTACCTTGAAAATTTAACTCTATTTCAAAAAGAAGCAAAATGTTAGTACTTAAGTGGAAATGATAGTGCCTGTTATTAGTACGTAATGTATATAAGACTCCAAATTTTTCATTTATATTGATTTTCTTTTCTTCTTTTTACTTTTTTTTTGTATGACTTATTTACAACTAGTCTTAAGGAAGAGATTTCCTTCAACATAATTCTCTCTCTGTAATACTGTGTTGTGTTTTTCCCCCTCTCCCAAAATGTTGCTCTGTCACACTTTCTCATTTCAAACTAGCTTTGGTTTATAGAGGATTATATGACAAACGTAGCATTAAAAAATACGAAATATATATTTCTATTGGAGTTCCGCAAGGGTGCATTTTGGGTCCGTTGTTTCTTTTTATTTACATATTTATGATATGTTGCATGTTTTGAAACATGGACGATTAGAAATGTACGCTGATGATACGGTGTATATTGTCAGTTGACCCACTATTTCCGATGTACAGGCACAAATTCAGAGTGATGTTAATGATATAGGTAGATGGATGAAATGTAAGCTGTCTCTAAATGTTGATACAACTAGTTTGTCATCTCATTCCCATGGCGCTGTCTAATTATATTTCTACTTGAAACGAATTATACATTTCAACGTCTGCATATAACTCCAGAAACAAGGGCAACTATTAGGAAATAGGTGCAGGGATCGCAGGGGTCGTTGTTCTCAACAACGATCAAGTTCATGATTATTAGAAGTAAACAAAGATTGAAAGTGTTCTTTAAAATGATTATATGAAAATACATGGATCGAACAATGCAAGGGTCGTATTAAAACACCCTATTATTCTCATTGATGAAAATTGAAGATGGTCTGGTCATGTAAATTATTTATGAAGAAAACTATTTGCCAGGCTTTCCATGCTCAATAGAGTGGAACCCTATAATAGATGAAACTTAATAGATAACAGATAAAACTATCATAAATTTGTATTATTAAATAAACACAACGAACGTTAGGGAAAACTTAATTTTGTTTTTTTTCATAAAGATAAGATAAACAAATTAAAAAATAGAGATATCAGATTGATTTTAATTTGTAACATAATATATACACCATGTAAAGAATGATTTACTCGCTGCCCGAAATGACTGCCTTTTATTTACAACAGAGTCAAATCTTTTTCATTAAAAAAAAATACAATATTACAAATGTTGTTGTTTTCAGCTCCCTTCTCCCCCGCTTTATTTTTCTCCATCTCCCCTTTCTCCCTCTTCTGGTCTGTCTGTGTGTCACTGTCTCTCTGTCTTTCTTTATATACCAGGCTCTCTTCCCGTCTTCCCTGTACCATCTGTTTGTATGTCTCTATCTCCAAACTGCAGCTACCCAACCCGCCCACTGTTCCATTTGGCCCATTTCTACAGTCTTTCGTAGTCTCTTAGCAGCCGGGCCGAAGTTAGTTAAAATCACAATCGCAGTTCCCACAGTCTCCACCACAATCATGACAATAGCTCACATGCCTGTAGGGGTGAGAAACATAGAGAGAGAGAGAGGGAGAGAGAGAGGGGGGGGGGGGAGGGAGGGAGTGAGAGAGAGAGAGAGAGAGAGAAAGAGGAAGGGAGAAAAGAGAGGGGGAGAGAGAGAGATAAGGATGGAGAGAGAGAGAGAGACAGACAGACAGAGATGGTTCAATGTATTTATACTGTATTCAAACTATATGGGCTTCAAAAATTTCTACTACAAAGAGATATTGCTATTGAAATACATTCACATTGATCGCATTGTTGAGTTGAATACTTTATGCACACGCGTGCCTTAGGGTTTTGTGTGATCGTTTATTTTCTTCATACTCCTTTAAAGGTACTATGTCTCTTTGCAGCCAACATCATCTTCTGCAGATCTTTGCAGGAATTATGAATATGTAATGTAACGTGTATCCTATCTGTGAAATATAAACGTTAGTAGTGTCCTATTATTCAAATTATGCAAGGAAACCCGTTATTTTCTAGACTTCGCTCTCAGAACTATTGAGCGACTGACTGACTTTTTTTTCTTCTTTGGACTACATAGAGTGAGCTGTAAAGATTCATGAGCATTTTGTTCAACTCAATAAACCACTTCTTGTAATGGCCAACATTACACTGGTTGAACCTTTGCGCAGCACAAAACGTACGACCTTTCGTCACAAGGATTTAAAAATCAGACTATTTCTAAAATGATTGCAATCACTAAAGTCGATAAGACAACCATTGGTCGTTTTGAGGGAAGTTTTGAATTAGTATCATCTTTCAAGTACCGTTGGAATTTAACTTTTTCATTTGTTTGGCCTGCAAATAGGAGATAGTACTATACCTTTAATTTACTCTTTATTTCTATAATGCCAGGTAAAGTTATCATGGATTGTGTTTTGATTAAAATGTTGAGGCAGTCACTTCTGAATATATCAATGCATTTTGCAACATCTCACTTTTGACTTGGCCCTATAATACAGGAAATTCCAAATCTCCGGGTATACTGACATTTCATGATAACATAATTATCACAAATGGGGCGTCATTACAAATGAGAATAAACAGGCCCTTTAACTTCATCATTAACGTCAAGTGGGATAATGTACTCTCTAACAAAAATCGAGTGATCACGGACGTCACTCCTCTGGAGAGTGAAAATGTAGTGAAAATAGAGTAAACATTCACTCTTTTCTTCTTAGAGAGCACTCTAAAATCAATCGATTTTCACTCCTAAACAAGTGATCACGGACGTCACTCCCAAGAAAGTGAAAAGAGAGTGAAAATTAACTCTCTTTTTTAAGAGAGTAGTGAAACGAGAGATATCTACGCTCAAACTTGAATTGGAGAACTTATTTTAGGAGTTTATGTTCTACCTAGATGCACATGTAATTTTTAAGTCGATGGAGTAGGCCTACACTTTATAATCCAAAGTGTGTTCTTACCGACTGACACTCGTCGCAACCATCGCCTTGCCCTCCTCCGAAGATACAATGGCAGAGCAAACATGCAAACAGAATCTCACAACATTGTGCATCACCACCGGTACCACAGTTACAACTCGCACAGCGGTCATCCCACCTATGTGTGCTGCAGATTGGGAAAATAAATAAATAAATGTTTTAATTTAATTAAGTTCATATTATTTTTACATTTGAATTGAAAGGAATAATCACAATGACAATAACATACTAGATTGAAAGAGAAAATATCAAGTGTTTGAAATTTAAAAAGAATTAAATAAAAATAAAAAATAAATATATGGTGGGATTTGCAAAGACAACAGGCCTATATTACTGTGTACTGCGGATTTGGAAAATATACATATAAACGTTTCAATTCAATTCAATTCATACATTTTGTTCACCTTTGAATTAAAAGGAATAGTCACAATGGCAATAATATAATAAATTGAAAGAGAAAATGACTAGTATAAAACACAAACAAATTCGAATATGGAGGGATTGCCAAGGACCACAGGCCTCCATTAATTGCAAACCCTATCAAAAACGTTTAAATTGCACGTCAAAATAATATTTTCTTTCTCTTATTATTATTTTCTCATATCTTTTTGTAGGACCTAACAACGAACCCCTTCTAGAGCCGGTTCGGATGAAACTTGGTCCTCACGGGCCCTCTTTCACAATACCCGTTACCAGGAACAAGTTGCAGTTATTGTAATAAGTTACCAAAATGATTGCATTTGATTGGCTGAGAGCAATTTTCTCATAGATTTTTAGCATTTGTCATTGATGAGGAGTTTCATGAAACAGGGTCCTGTCGATTTTGCAATCAGAAGAAAGAAGATGACAACAAATAAAAACAATAAGAAGAAGATCATGCTATCAATGCATTCATTAATTTATTCAATTATTCATTTATCTACCTAATATATCTATAGGCCAATATCTATTTATGAACATTTTTTTATAATTTTCTGTATTGATGCATTTTTGCTTTCTGGATTTGCTTTTCTTCCTGTGTACTTTGTGCAGTTCCCCTTACAGAAACTTAAGCTTGCGGCAAGCTTGTTACAAGCTTGTTAGAAGCTTGCGGCAAGCTTAATAAGATTGCATTACAAATTTAAGCTTGCAAAACTTGCGCGCAATCTTACAGCAATCTTGCTGCAAGCTTGCAGGCAAAGAGAGATATTCATGCAAGCTTGCTGCAAGCTTGCAGGCCAAGAAGATATCCCTGCAAGCTTGCAGGGGTGCAATCTAAAGCCCTTGCAATCTTACAGGCCGACAGTGTATGCCCTGCTAGCTTGCAGCAAGCTTGCGGACATTGCAGGGGCGCAAACTAAAGCTCTTGCAAGCTTGCAGACAAAGAGGATATCCCTGCAAGCTTGCAGGAGCGCAATCTAAAGCCCTGGCAATCTTACAGGCCGACAGTGTATGCCCTGCAAGCTTGCAGCAAACTTGCGGACATTGCAGGGGCGCAAACTAAAGCTCTTGCAAGCTTGCAGACAAAGAGGATATCCCTGCAAGCTTGCAGGGGCGCAATCTAAAGCCCTGGCAATCTTACAGGCCGACAGTGTATGCCCTGCAAGCTTGCAGCAAGCTTGCGGACATTGCAGGGGCGCAAACTAAAGCTCTTGCAAGCTTGCAGACAAAGAGGATATCCCTGCAAGCTTGCAGGAGCGCAATCTAAAGCCCTGGCAATCTTGCAGGCCGACAGTGTATGCCCTGCAAGCTTGCAGCAAGCTTGCGGAGCTTGCTGGGTGCAATCTAAAGCCCTGCCAAGCTTGCCGCAAACTTATGTCAGACTGCTATGGACAAACCCCATCTATGACCAAATTATTGTCACTGTAAACATACAGCACAAAAGTTTATATGCACAATTAAATTGTTCAATAATTATCTCAAAACCTTTGATTCTTTGCTAATGAGGTATAAAATAGGGGATCTAATAATAGTACAGTTCTTATAGCGCATTATACCTTTGAAAAAGGTTTAAAGATGGATGATCATAAAACAAACATTAAATATCGCATCATGACTCACTTTTCACTGTACAAAAAAGTACACCATCCAACACTCTAAAAATGATTTCCTTTTTCACTGTGATTTACGAGAGACCAGGCAAGAGTCAACAAAAATGGTTGAAACGAAATATATAATTTAAATGAGCGTTTAATCAAACCTTGCTAAAATCTAGCCGGAAAACGATTTGATTCAAAAACTATATTCTTAAACAAAAGCAAAACTAATAGTCCAATAGCCTGCTTGAATTTCTTTAATTGACAAGAAAGACCAAGTGTTTTGTTTTAATTTTTGGATAAAACATCCTAAGACATGTCTGAAAAGTGATGTCTTGTGTGTTGTGGGTGGTGGAGCCTGATTTCAGAGGTCAATGACCTTTATTTGACCCTGATTTCGCCTAACAGTTGTTTTTTACATGTCATTTGTTAAAAAGAGCCTCAATTTTAATGAATATTGTGTCTAATGAAAGATAATGAAATTATCTATCACATGATATGAATATTTATAATATTTGATGATATTTTGAACCTTTTTTAGGGTTTAAAAAGTAATTTTTTGACTTTTTTCACTAAAATCATAATTTATCACTTTTTGTTCGTATCTGTAAAAAAAGAGGAAACAATGAAAATCCTAAAGAATTACTGTAAAAAATGCATTTATATTCATTTATTACACTGTGAAAATTTTATATTTATTACTTCTCTTACTAAAAAGTTATTGACTTCCAAAGATAACACTCCCAGTGCCAACAAGATCCTAATCAGAAAAATGTCACGCGCCCTCTATTGGCCATTCCAAGTAATTCATTCTTTGTGGTTGGTTCAAAGTTTTGTTGAACATTTTGTGAACTGGTCAAGTGTGAATCAACTTCAAAATGGTAAGTACTTGTGAGATATTGCACTTACATTATAATAATTCACAACAACATTTAACATATAAATCTCTGGAAAGCAATATTAAAATGAAAATAAAACAGGAAAATTGTAATAATTTGATAATTTTTCATGAAATAATGTAAAACTCAGACTCAGTCCCACATCACCAAAAAAATGTTAGTTAAACTAGCTAGACTAGGTAGTACTAGTAGGTAGCCTAGTCTACTTGGTACTTGTTCGGTTGGTCCTCCAAGATACTCGTCTGAGTTTTAACTTAACGGGTAGGGTGTATATTAGTTTGTAGATGTGGGGACGTCAGGGCAATTTTGAATTTGACAGGGTCAGTGTGGGCGATAGTCTCTGGTTTAAGCTGGTCTAGGTCTAGACCAGGACTAGGTCTAGACTAGTTATAGGCCCATAACTTCCAATTCTAGATCTAGTATAATCTGAAACGGCTCTGGACGCAATTTCTCAGTCTATCTCTCTACCTCTTTGTTTGTATATGTGTGTGTGTTTTAGTTTTTACCCTGATTCTAAGGGTGTGTGTGTGTGCGGTAAACAGGTAACAAAGGTAAAGTGGGAGAGAAAAAAATGATTCAACAAAATCCATTAATTATCTGCATTTTGTTCAACCCCGTTTGTGTCTCTGAGTGTGTGTATTTGTGTTGACGTGCGTGCGTGTATGTTTTTAAATCAATTGTGAAAAGGTATAGGTTTTATACTATGTAGACTAGACTAGACTAGACCTAGATCTATGTGTTTTTTCCCCCAAAAAAGATGGCACCCACAGGTCTTTCGGGAACAAATTTTCTCCACTTCTATGTATTCAATTTGTGCCAGACTTGCCATGGCAATACCTTTCATTTTCTTTCATTTTTGAGAGGGAATTTTTTTTTATAGAGATATCAAAAGTGTGAATAATATTTTGTCAATGTTTTCAGACAGTCGTTATTACATGTACAAGTATTCAGAAGTCTAGCTCCAGCACTACAATGTCATTGAAATGTACTTAAAACTCAGGTAACATTAAAACCAGTTGATACATATATGATGTATCTTTTGTAGATCTCTGTCAATGTTATTGTCCATACTGTTACTATTATTCCATTAAATTTGTAGCAAGCTTGCGGCAAGCTTGCGACGAGCTAACATCAAGCTTGCATATTTTGTAATTGGCTGAGGGTACCATTTGGATTTTTTACCACGCAAGCTTGCAAAAGCATGCAAGCTCGCTGCAAGATTGCACGCTTCTCTTTTTTTACCAGCTTGGGAGCTTGCGCAAGCTTGCAGATTTTTAGACCTGCAAATATAATTCAATATCTGCAAGCTTGCTGTGTGAGCTTGTTTCAAGCTTGCCGCGAGCTTGTTTCAAGCTCGTTACTAGCTTGCAGGGTTCCAAAAATGCAAATGAGTTTATCTGTCAGCCAATCAAAACAGAGGAAATATATTTTCAGATCTAACAATCTGCAAGCTTGCAAGCTCGCAACAAGCTTGCTGCAAGCTTACATGCAAGCTCGCAGGCAAGCTTGGGAGCTTGCAGATTTTAAGACCTGCAAATATTATTCGATATCAGCAAGCTTGCTGTGTGAGCTTGTTTCAAGCTTGCCGCGAGCTTGTTTCAAGCTCGTTACTAGCTTGCAGGGTTCCAAAAATGCAAATGAGTTTATCTGTCAGCCAATCAAAACAGAGGAAATATATTTTCAGATCTAACAATCTGCAAGCTTGCAAGCTCGCAACAAGCTTGCTGCAAGCTTACATGCAAGCTTGCAACAAGCTCGCAGGCAAGCTTGCAAGCTTGCAGATTGTTAGACCTGAAAATATATTTCCTCTGTTTTGATTGGCTGACAGATATAACTCATTTGCATTTTTGGAACCCTGCAAGCTAGTAACGAGCTTGAAACAAGCTCACGGGCGAGCTTGAAACAAGCTCGCAGATCAAGCTTGCTGCAAGCTTGCACTGCAAGCTCGCGGCAAGCTTGCACCAATTTCCATAAGGGTCAGCTACTTAATAATTATATAGAAATGGTGCGATATACATTTACAACTATTTTCATTATGTATTTATTTTTGTCATCTTTGCCTTCGTCGGACTGTGGATCCACTAGCTAAAGTCGAAATGGGATGGGTCGAGCTGATGACTAAACTGATATTAGTTTGGACCAGATGACAATACCTCGTCGATGTGACCTTTGTGGTATGCACGTACTCCCCTCGTCCAACCATGTTGCTTCGTTTCTTTTCTACTTCCGGTTCATGCTCCGATGGGTCTTCAGGAATAGGTTGGGCGGTGATCACTTTTCCGGTATCCACGCCGTTCGTTGTCACCTCAACCTTAACGCAACGGAGAAGGAAGAAATGATTACCATTACAAAAAATCGAGAGTAGTGTATATGTAACTATATAATAATATATTTCGTATTAATAATGAGCCGATGTTGTCTGGTCTCAGTTCCAAGAGGGAGAGAGAGAGAGAGGGGGGGGGGGAGGGGGTGTACAGAGAGAGAGAGGGTGAGAGAGAGACCTGAGCACCAATACACACGCACACACTCCCTCATGCAGAGAGAGAGAGAGAGAGAGAGGGAGAGAGGGATAGAGGAACCTAAGCACCCATACGCACACGCACTCCCTCATGAAGATATATATGTAGAGAGAGAGAGAGAGAGAGAGAGAGAGGGGGGGGGGGTGGTATGGGAGATAGACAGACACAGAAAGAAAGAGAGAGGGTGGGGTGCAGAGAGAAAGAGAGAGGGACCACTAGACCTAAACACCCATACGCACGCTCACTCCTTCATGCAGAGAGAGAGAGAGAGAGAGGATGTGATGTAGAAAGAAAGAGAGGGGAAGAGAGGGGGGGGGGGGGGTTGAACTGAGAATGTTAAATGTCTACGACCCCTCGCAAGCCCTGTGTTTCTTGGCAGCCCCGCTTTCAATATTGGAATCTGTTTTCATTTTCTTTTCTGGGCCCTCAAAATGTAACCATACTTACTCTCAACTAAACTTTCTTAATCGATGAAACTGCACTACCCAGCTACGACAGTATAATAAAGCACATATTGACCTTTGAGCCCGGACAGTGCACCGTGAATTCCATGATTTTACGCAAATACCTGCGAAATATGAATGCCTATTGATATATACTATCTGTATATTATTCGCGTCCTGAACGATTCACTCACATGATATTTGACAATTTTTTTGGTGGTTTTCGACACGCATGTATGGTCATGGTACAATGCGGTCGTGAATTCCCTTAACAACAACATATGAGCAATACTCAGGGTTTATAAAGTGCTCAATATATCGGTGGTGTCTGTAAGCGCCCTACAAATGAATTAATATTACCCCGTTCATCGGATTCAGGCTTGCCCGCACACAGTGTATAAGCACATTATCACTTCCTTGGCATTCAAGCCAGGCGCCATTTTACAGACGCTCACAATGCTGAGCAAACTATACAATGACTTCTTACCAACAACCCATATTAGGGTGGGGAGTGGCAAAATAATGTGTAACAATGTCTTGCTGATCAGGACGTAAGTGCCAGCCGGAATGGGACTCGAACCCTCAACCCGTTGAGTGAGAGTGAAGGGAATGAACCCCCATACCACGACATCTCCACTGTTATGCGGGTCCGACAATTTTGTTTTCCTTTATTACTGTTGTATGGGTCTACTAATGAAAATCCCCTGTATCATAAAGTATAATGATAATAAGGGGTCACTTCGTGGTTATGTTTAGTCCCCTACAAACTAGTAGTTTGAATTAATCTCATGGGCGTGAGTTTCCTTAAACAAAATTAATCACGAACACGGACGAACCATGTCACGACCTTTCAGATTCACCAATTAGGCCAGAAGCTACATAGAGAAGTTGCATTTGTCAACACTTTGTCCAAGAATGAAACAACCTTCCAGCAAATGAAGCTCACGGAGACTGTCCAGAAAAAAAAATCAGTGACTACTCCTCCAAACGTCTAATGCCCTTATTCATTACACAAAATCATCCGTCTCCCTTACTAAAATTGTAATCTGTAATTCATCTTTGTGAAAGGCTGCATAGCCCTTTGAAGATTACCAGAGGAAGAAGAAGAAGAAGAAGAAGAGAGTGGGCTTTTTTATTCGCATGGATATCGACGCCAAAATTAAGTGATCCTTATACAATTACTTTTACAAGAAAGGATGCTCCCTAGTATTAAAGAGTGTGAAATATAATTATGGGCGGGGAATGTCTATATTTATTTTTTATTTTAAATTCCATTCTTCTTCCTTATTGTTGGTTCGGTTGGATGATGGTTGGTTGGTTTTACTTGACCACTATAATAAGGATGTGTATGCCTGCAATTAAGCTACCAACGGACCGACGCGGCTGTAAGTCATCCGTCCAAAAGAGACTTGATAGTGAAGATTAATTCCTTACTAAATGCCACTATAGCGCATATCTACTTGGCTTTTAACCCGAGTCCTCCCGGTTACAAGATGTACAACTGCTTAACAGCTGAGCTATCGCCCCTTGTATCGAGTTCACCTACCATATCGAACATCATTACAGGCCTGTGGTGGATCTACCGGTACGTGCATGCATATCAAAATGTCGAAAGCAGAAGAACAATAATGTCAACTTACTTCGTCTGGTGTCGCTGTTTTGTGTTCTCCCTCCATAACCTTCTTGATAATGCATCGAGGGGCTCCCCCTTTATGATTTATGAATATCCCCTTTATGATTTATGAATATCACAAATACGAACGTGCAACCTCAGCTCCCCGGTTTAAGAAAATATAGCACTAATATTGAACAGCTGCATGAGCGAAGAAAATACATTGACATATACACGCGTTAGATTATCACGAAAACCGCGTTCAACACAATAGACCGCCGGGTGAACCCTCAAAAGTGCCTTAGTTTCTGTGTTTTGTGACCCGTGGTCGGCATCTACTTGAAAATAACCTCTAATGTGTAGAAAAATATACTGAAGATGATGGTGCAACTCGTCAGTAGAAAAAATTGCACACAAATTAATAATGTCCAGATTAATTTTTAATAAATATGACAAACGCCCTCTTGGGTCCATTCTGAGACATTTGTGTATTATGCTGTGAAAGTGACTTGTATTGATATCGAGCAAAGCTGCAGTGCACTCAAAATATTCCCCTTTCCCTCTTTCCTCATTCCTTCCCCTTCTCTCTCTTTCCTAATCCCCCTCTCTTTCTCTCCTTATCCCCTCTCATCCCCCCACCCATTTTTCCTCATTCCCCTCTCTCTCTCTTCGTCTCTTTATTCCTCTTTCCTCACCCCCCCCCCTCTCTCTCACTCTTCATCCCATTCCCTCCCTTTCTCTTGTTTCCTTAACCACTCTCTCTTTCCCATTCCCTCTCCCCCCTCACTCTTTCCCACCTCTCTATCTCTTTCTATGTCATACCCTTCAATATATATTTGATTTGATTTGATTTGATTTGATTTATTTATTTCTGTTTGATTTTCTTTTTCTTTTGCATTTTTACAAATATATAACAAACAAATATTGCAAATTTACACATGAATGGCATATCTTTAAATAAAATAAATCACAATTTAAAACAAAGTTTGTAAGGCATGTTTGACCAATTATAATCTGGTTTCACATGAAATATATGACATAATACTATCTCACATTCTCAAAATACATGGTCAATAAAATTGTAAGCCTGCTTGACTACATGGATACTGCTCTTTGTGTTGATGTAGAGAAATGATTCATCATCAGTTATACAACACATTGTCAATTCACATTAAAATATTTTCAATAACAAACATTCTTTCAAGCGATCACATGTATGTATGTTTTAGCAAAAATACACATAAAATATACATTATAGATTTTTTTATTTTATATATTCATAGATGGCAGGGTCGCAGCCTCTGCTATTCTTCTTCAGTTTATCTAAATCATGTTCTTTAACATTTCCAGCAGGTAATTTCATACATTTGTCCAAATGCCATTTAGTAAAAGTTATCTGCTTTATCGAATCTGGCGGAAATTGGCAAAATAGAGCATCGCAATAAAGGTCTTTACATTGAATTTCCAAAAAAGGCTTTACATTTACAAGTAATATTTTCAATAACAAACATTCTTTCAAGCAATTGCTCAAAAAGCATTACAACATGTATGTACCGGTATGTATTAGCAAAAACACACATAAAATATACATTGTAAATAAAATTTAAAAATTCATGGATGACAGGGTCCCAGCCTCTGCTATTCTTCTTCAGTCTAATATATCTAAATCATGTTCTTTAAAATTTTCGGCAGGTAATTTCATACATTTGTCCAAATACCATTTGATACAAGTTATCTGCTTTATCGAATCTGGCGGAAATTGGCAAAAAAGAGCATCACAAGAAAGGTCTTTACATTGAATTTCCTAAAAAAAAACTTTACATTTACAAGTAATGTGACATACAATGAGTTAAATATTGTTCCTTCTTTGCCTTGATCTCATCTGTGCTCACTTGTTTGTTGTAATGTTGCAGAAGTGCCTGTAGCAGCCCGCATGGTATCCTGGTTGGACATACCTTTATTGAAAATAAATAAAAGCAAGGTTCATTTAATATCATTTATTAAAAAAGAAGTATTCATCACTACAAAACGTACAGTACGAGTCGAATCTAGCATATAAATATCATCAAAATACAAATTTTAAAAAATATCTGTGCTGACTGGTTACTGTCTCTAACTGGAAGTGAACGGACTGGACATCAGTGACACTAACAGAGGAAATTATTCAGAACTGCTTATTAGAAAACGTAAGGAGGTGTCTCATATTTTTATGAAGTGTTTTTTGTGTGTAGAGCATGGAGGGCATACGGTACTGTAATACATTTTTCATCATGAATAAAAAAGATCACCAGGGCAAGGGCAAGGCTCATTCTCCATCACAAGTGGCGTATTAATTTAAATGTGTCAAATATTGACGGGGATTGTCGGCCTCACCATGCAGAATTTTTCAAACATACAAAAAAAAAAAAAAAAAAAAAACACTTTGATTGTGGAAATTTAGGGGGACAGTGGCCCCTCACCCCCCCCCCCGAACAAAAACCCACCAGTACGCTGTTCTCAGACGATACCGTAATCAATATGTGGACAATAAATACCCACATTAATTATGAAGACCTGATCTGTACTAAATTAATGTAGTATACATGTAGAATCAAGCCTGACCAGTATCCAAATTGACTTGATCAACCACTTTGATCAAGTCAGCTAGGCCTCAATTTCGAGACATCGAAATAAAAGTGTATTCCTGTTGGTGTGCAGTCCTGCATGCATCTAATAATTTGATATGTAAACTTCTGAATTTGCTACATAGATTTTTAATTTTTGTTGTTGAAATATTTGTTTTTCAAACTTGCTAAGCTCCACCCCAAAAACCTCCAGATCTCATTCCCCTTGTGACATCATTCTGTCAGTCATCAATGAGCTAACTTGAGAAAGTGGTATGTATCTTTGCCGAAGTCGACCACCTGTTACAATACGAAATACAATAGCAACATACACGTTGCTATGTCAGACATGCTGTAGCATCACCAGGAAGAGAAAGGCAATGATGATGTATTGTACATATGTATGGAAGCATGAAATTCTATTATGAATGTGTGCTAAGCTGGGGGAAATTACATACGATTGTCTATTCTAGAATATTAGTTTAGTCTGACATATCTGACATATCAACTTATATGTTCCTATCGCTTGCGGTATCGTAACAGGTGGTTACATGCCACTTTCTCAAGTTAGCTCATTGATGACTGACAGATGATGTCACAAGGGGAATGAGATCGTGAAGTTTTTGGGGTGGAGCTTAGCAAGTTTGAAAAACAAATATTTAAAAAAAATATTTAAAAATCTATGAAACAAATTCGGAAGTTTACATATCAAAATACGAGAGGTATGCAGGACTGTACACAAACAGGAATACACTTGTATTTCGATGTCATGGGCCCTCTAATAACAGTCCTATAAAAAAGGGAGGATAAAAAAAAGGAAAGAAATAGAGGAGAAAGGGAGCATGAGAGAGAGAGAGGAAGAGAGGGGAGAGAGAGAGAGAAAGAGAAAGAGAGAGAGAAAGAGAGAAAGAGAGAGTGAGTGAGAGAGTGAGAGAGAGAGAGAAAACAGGAAGAGGGCAGCAAGAAGATTAGAATGCTTAAATTAGTTCACTGAACATTGAATAGCTATTGGAAATTAGGACTGATTTCTTCTTTTAGCGTTGAACATTCTAATGAAAATATAAGCAAAATAATTTTTCACCACCGTGCTAAACTTATAATTAGTACCTTGAAAATTTAACTCTATTTCAAAAAGAAGCAAAATGTTAGTACTTAAGTGGAAATGATGGTGCCTGTTATTAGTACGTAATGTATATAAGACTCCAAATTATTCATTTATATTGATTTTCTTTTCTTCTTTTTACATTTTGTTTGTATGACTTATTTACAACTAGTCTTAAGGAAGAGACTTCCTTCAACATAATTCTCTCTTTGTAATACTGTGTTGTGTTTTTTCCCCCTCTCCCAAAATGTTGCTATGTCACACTTTCTCATTTCAAACTAGCTTTGGTTTTTAGAGGATTATATGACAAACGTAGCATATAAAAATACGAAATATATATTTCTATTGGAGTTCCGCAAGGGTGCATTTTGGGTCCGTTGTTTCTTTTTATTTACACATTTATGATATGTTACATGTTTTGAAACATGGACGAATAGAAATGTACGCTGATGATACGGCGTATTTTGTCAGTTGACCCACTATTTCCGATGTACAGGCACAAATTCAGAGTGATGTTAATGATATAGGTAGATGGATGAAATGTAAGCTGTCTCTAAATGTTGATATAACTAGTTTGTCATCTCATTCCCATGGCGCTGTCTAATTATATTTCTACTTGAAACGAATTATACATTTCAACGTCTGCATATAACTCCAGAAACAAGGGCAACTATTAGGAAATAGGCGCAGGGATCGCAGGAATCGTTGTTCTCAACAACGATAAAGTTCATGATTATTGGAAGTAAACCAAGATTGAAAGTGTTCTTTAAAATGATTATGAAAATACATGGATCGAACAATGCAAGGGTTGTATTAAAACACCCTATTATTCTCATTGATGAAAATTGAAGATGGTCTGGTCATGTAAATTATTTATGAAGAAAACTATTTGCCGGGCTTTCCATGCTCAATAGAGTGGAACCCTATAATAGATGAAACTGAATAGATAACAGATAAAACTACCATAAATTTGTATCATTAAATCAACACAACGAACGTTAGGGAAAACTAAATTTTGTTCTTTCATATAGATAAGATAAACAAATTAAAAAATAGAGATATCAGATTGATTTTAATTTGTAACATATATACACCATGTAAAGAATTATTTACTCGCTGCCCGAAATGACTGCCTTTTATTTACAACAGAGTCAAATCTTTTTCATTAAAAAAAAATACAATATTACAAATGTTGTTGTTTTCAGCTCCCTTCTCCCCCGCTTTATTTTTCTCCATCTCCCCTTTCTCCCTCTTCCGGTCTGTCTGTGTGTCACTGTCTCTCTGTCTTTCTTTATATACCAGGCTCTCTTCCCGTCTTCTCTCTGCCGTCTGTTTGTATGTCTCTATCTCAAAACTGCAGCTACCCCACCCGCCCACTGTTCCATTTGGCCCATTTCTACAGTCTTTCGTAGTCTCTTAGCAGCCGGGCCGAAGTTAGTTAAAATCACAATCGCAGTTCCCACAGTCTCCACCACAATCATGACACTCACATGCCTGTAGGGGTGAAAAACATAGATAGAGAGAGAGAGAGAGGGAGGGGGAGGGAGGGAGGGAGTGAGAGAGAGAGAGAGAGAGAAAGAGGAAGTGAGAGAGAGAGAGAGAGAGAGAGGGAGAGAGGAAGGGAGAAAAAGAGAGGAAGAGAGATAGATAAGGAGGGAGAGAGAGAGAGAGAGAGAGACAGACAGAGAGGGTTCAATGTATTTATACTGTATTCAAACTATATGGGCTTCAAATATTTCTACTACAAAGAGATATTGCTATTGAAATACATTCACATTGATCGCATTGTTGAGTTGAATACTTTATGCACACGCGTGCCTTAGGGTTTTGTGTGATCGTTTATTTTCTTCATACTCCTTTAAAGGTACTATGTCTCTTTGCAGCCAACATCAACTTCTGCAGAACTTTGCAGGAATTATGAATATGTAATGTAACGTGTATCCTATCTGTGAAATATAAACGTTAGTAGTGTCCTATTATTCAAATTATGCAAGGAAACCCGTTATTTTCTAGACTTCGCTCTCAGAACTATTGAGCGACTGACTGACTTTTTTTTCTTCTTTGGACTACATAGAATGAGCTGTAAAGATTCATTTAGCATTTTGTTTAATTCAATAAACCACTTCTTGTGATGGCCAACATTACACTGGTTAAACCTTTGGGCAGCACAAAACGTACGACCTTTCGTCACAAGGGTCTAAAAATCAGACTATTTCTAAAATGATTGCAATCACTTAAAAGTCGATAAGACAACCATTGGTCGTTGAAAGCCGTTTCGTTTTGAGGGAAGTTTTGAATTAGTATCATCTTTCAAGTACCGTTGGAATTTAACTTTTTCATTTGTTTGGCCAGCAAATAGGAGATAGTACTATACCTTTAATTTACTCTTTACTTCTATAATGCCAGGTAAAGTTATCATGGATTGTGTTTTAATTGAAATGTTGAGGCAGTCACTTCTGAATATACCAATGCATTTTGCAACATCTCACTTTTGACTTGGCCCTATAATACAGGAAATTCCAAATCTCCGGGTATACTGACATTTCATGATAACATAATTATCACAAATGGGGCGTCATTACAAAGGAGAATAAACAGGCCCTTTAAATTCATCATTAACGTCAAGTGTGATAATGTACTCTCTAACAAAAATCGAGTGATCACGGACGTCACTCCTCTGGAGAGTGAAAATGTAGTGAAAATAGAGTGAACATTCACTCTTTTCTTCTTAGAGAGCACTCTAAAATCAATCGATTTTCACTCCTAAACAAGTGATCACGGACGTCACTCCCAAGAAAGTGAAAATAGAGTGAAAATTCACTCTCTTTTTTAAAGAGAGTAGTGAAACGAGAGATATCTACGCTCAAACTTGAATTGGAGAACTTATTTTAGGAGTTTATGTTCTACCTAGATGCATATGTAATTTTTAAGTTGATTGAGTAGGCCTACACTTTATAATCCAAAGTATGTTCTTACCGACAGACAGTCGCCGCAACCATCGCCTTGCCCTCCTCCGAAGATACAGTGGCAGAGCAAACATGCGAACAGAATCTCACAACATTGTGCATCGCCACCGGTACCACAGTTACAACTCGCACAGCGGTCATCCCACCTATGTGTGCTGCAGATTGGGAAAATAAATAAATAAATGTTTTAATTTAATTAAGTTCATATTATTTTTATATTTGAATTAAAAGGAATAATCACAATGACAATAACATACTAGATTGAAAGAGAAAATATCAAGTGTTTGACATTTAAAAAGAATTAAATAAAAATTAAAATAAATATATGGTGGGATTTGCAAAGACAACAGGCCTATATTACTGTGTACTGCAGATTTGGAAAATATACATATAAACGTTTCAATTCAATTCAATTCATACATTTTGTTCACCTTTGAATTAAAAGGAATAGTCACAATGGCAATAATATAATAAATTGAAAGAGAAAATGACTAGTATAAAACACAAACAAATTCGAATATGGAGGGATTGCCAAGTTAAAGTCGAAATGGGATGGGTCGAGCTGATGACTAAACTGATATTAGTTTGGACCAGATGACAATACCTCGTCGATGTGACCTTTGTGGTATGCACGTACTCCCCTCGTCCAACCATGTTGCTTCGTTTCTTTTCTACTTCCGGTTCATGCTCCGATGGGTCTTCAGGAATAGGTTGGGCGGTGATCACTTTTCCGGTATCCACGCCGTTCGTTGTCACCTCAACCTTTACGCAACAGAGAAGGAAGAAATGATTACCATTACAAAAAATCGAGAGTAGTGTATATGTAACCATATAATAATATATTTCGTATTAAAAATGAGCTGATGTTATCTGGTCTCAGTTCCGATTCTAAATTATGGGTAGCTATGTTCAGGGGCATTGGGGCACGTGCAGAGAGAGAGAAAGAGAGGGATATATATATATATATATAGAGAGAGAGAGAGAGAGAGAGAGAGTGGAATGTAGAAAGAAAGAGAGAGGGTCAAAGCATGGTCAAAGAGACCTAAGCACCCATACGCAAACGCACTCCCTCATGCAGAAAGATAGAGAGAGAGAGGGGGGGGGGGATTAAACTGAGAATAGGGACTTTTCGATTTGCACGACGAGAACGTGGACTGCAACGTGTGACATCCTTTTGAGGCACTACTAGTGTCTTAAAAGGACGTCACAGGTGACTGTCAGTGCCTTAAAAGGAAGTCACACGTCCACGTCCACGCAAATCGAAAAGTCCCTAATGTTAAATGTCTACGACCCCTCGCACCTCTGTGTTTCTTGGCAGCCCCGCTTTCAATATTGGAATCTGTTTTCATTTTCTTTTACAGCAGTAATAAAGGACATATTGACCTTTGAACCACTGAGGTGCACTGTGAATTCCATAATTCGTCCTTGTTTTCACGAAGTGACGGTAGTGAGGAAAATCGTAACACAAAGTGAATGCAATTTTTTTTTCACTACCGTCACTTCGTGAAAACAGCGACGAATTGTATACAAATACCTGCGAAATATGAATGCCTATTGATATACTACCTGTATATCATTTGCATCCTGGATAATTCACACACATGATAGTTGACAATGGTTTTCTCTTCGGTTTTAGACATGCATGTATGGTCATGGTATACAATGCGACTATGCATTCCCTTAAAAAAAAAAATCATATAAGCAATATTGAGAGTTTATAAAGTGCTCAATATAACGGTGGGGTTTTTAAGCGCCTTACAAATGAATTAATATTACCCAAGTCATCGGATACAGTGTATAAGCACATTATCACTTCCTTGGCATTCAAGCCAGGCGCCATTTTACAGACGCTCACAATTCTGAGCAAACTGCAATAACTTTTGCATTCTACCGAGAACCGATATTAGGGTGGGGAATGGCAAAATAGTGTGTAGCAATGTCTTGCTGAAGGACGTAAGTGCCAGCCGGAATGGGATTCGAACCCTCAACCCGTTGAGTGAGAGTGAAGTGAAAGAACCACCATACCACGACATCTCCACTGTTATGCGGGTCGGACAATTTTGTTTTCCTTTATTACTATTGTATGGGTCTACTATTAAATGGAAATCCCCTGTATCATAAAGTATAATGGTAATAAGGGGTCACTTCTTGGGTATGTTTAGTCCCCTACAAACTAGTAGTTTGAATTAATCTAATGGGCGTGAGTTTCCTTAAACAAAATTAATCACGAACACGGACGAACCATGTCACGACCTTTCAGATTCACCAATTAGGCCAGAAGCTACATAGAGAAGTTGCATTTGTCAACACTTTGTCCAAGAATGGAACAACCTTCCAGCAAATGAAGCTCACGGAGACTGTCCAGAAAAAAAAATCAGTGACTACTCCTCCAAACGTCTAATGCCCTTATTCATTACACAAAATCATCCGTCTCCCTTACTAAAATTGTAATCTGTAATTCATCTTTGTGAAAGGCTGCATAGCCCTTTGAAGATTACCAGAGGAAGAAGAAGAAGAAGAAGAGAGTGGGCTTTTTTTATTCGCATGGATATCGACGCCGAAATTAAGTGATCCTTATACAATTACTTAATACAAGAAAGGATGCTCCCTAGTATTAAAGAGTGTGAAATATAATTATGGGCGGGGAATGTCTATATTTCTTTTTTATTTTAAATTCCATTCTTCTTCCTTATTGTTGGTTCGGTTGGATGATGGTTGGTTGGTTTTACTTGACCACTATAATAAGGATGTGTATGCCTGCAATTAAGCTACCAACGGACTGGCGCGGCTGTAAGTCATCCGTCCAAAAGAGACTTGATAGTGAAGATTAATTCCTTTAATACCAAATGGCATTTGCGCATATCTATTTGGCTTCGAACCCGGGACCTCCCGGTTACAACATGTACAACTGCTCTACAGCTGAGCTATCGCCCCCTGTATCGATTTCACCTACCTACCATATTTAACACAATTACAGGCCTTTAATGTAATGCACCGGTACATGCATGCATATTAAAATGTCGAAAGCAGAAGAACAATAATGTCAACTTACTTCGTCTGGTGTCGCTGTTTTGTGTTCTCCCTCCATAACCTTCTTGACAAAGCACCGAGGGGCGTCCCCTTTATGATTTATGAATATCACAAATACGAACGTGCAACCTCAGCTCCCCGGTTTAAGAAAATATAGCACTAATATTGAACAGCTGCATGAGCGAAGAAAATACATTGATATATACACGCGTTAGATTATCACGAAAACCGCGTTCAACACAAACATTATTTGCAATGAAATGTGCAAAATTCCAACTGACTGTTACTTGTAATTGGTCGAACGAAAATGTAGGATGTTATTTAGTACGTATCACAATCAGTGCGAAAATATGAAATAGAAATTGAATAGGTAAACGCATGATTACATGTATACAAAGCATTGTGACGTAGCGATGATAACCGGTTGCCTTTCGTCATGTGATTTTGATGTCCTTTCTTCTTTTAGTCTACAGGTCCAAACACTTAATAGTAATATCAAAACATTACAGAGGGTCTGTAATCTAAGACTTAGGGCACTGCAATCCACATATACCCCGTATGACTGTCTGATTTGAAAAAAGCAAGGGATTGACAATTTAGGCTAGGCTCAAGGCCACATGCAAATTTATGATTATAATTTTGTCGAACAGAGTCTATATCCGCAGACTATTATTGAGTATATAGACAAACCGGACTTGACGTTGAACGCAAACCTGAACACGAGTAATATGTTTATCAATATAACGAACACTTCTCAGAAAGCCCTTTTTGTATAGATGTTATGAATCGTTTATTATACTGGTGGTGGGGGGGGGGGGGGGGGGGGGTGGATGAGCATGAATTTTGTGACACGCATAAATAAGCTTGAATGGGAAAATGGCCTACATTACACACATAATGTTTTTTTGTTTTTTTCAGGAGATAAGAATTACTTGTTAAACACAGTTATGACATTGTGCGAAATGTTTAAAACAGTTTCAGTAATTTGATACTGGACAACATTTGAACGCCTACCTTGCATCTCAATCTATACTCCTTGCTTCAAACCCTCTTTTACCAAATTTATAAATCTTGGTACGATTTTCCATGTGAAAAGATACTCATTCTGCTGGTACCAGCGAAAACTTTCATTTATTTGAAATATTTCCCTATTCCATTACAAACAAGTAGACTCTCGCTCTCTCTCCCCTCTCTTTTTTCTTTCTCTCTCTCTCTCTCTGTCTCTCTCTCTGTCTCTCTGCCTTTCTCTTCCTCTCTCTTACTAGATTTAAGAAAAGCAGCGCGAGCAAAAGGGAGAGGGGGGAAAAAGAACATGGGGGGGGGGGCTGGGGTATTGATACAGTACATACGCAATGTATCCTAATTTAAAACAACAATACATATTCAGAACTTCCGGGATTCCCTGAAAATGAAAGAAGTTGCTTGAGTGATACGACTTTGGAGGAGTCAGTGTCACGTTTGTTATTGTCACTCACAGCACACGTGATTACTGCCTAAGAAATTTAAAAAATCATTGTCATTGTCATCGACATTTTCTCTCTCCATTGCTTTGCTACCAAGGTAAATTACCGCCTCACGTGATAAAAAAAATGTAATCTCTCTTTCTATCTCTATATTATCTCATTCCCTTCATCTCTCTCTCTCTCTCTCTCTCTCTCTCTCTCTCTCTCTCTCTCTCTCAGTCTTATTATCTTTCTTCCCCCCCCCTCTCTCGATCTCTTTCCCCCTCTCTCTCACTCTCTCACTCTCTTTCAGTTTCTGACTCTCTCTCCCCCTCTCCATCTTGCTCTCTCTGCACGTTTTCTATCTCTCTTTATGACACTCTTTGTCTGTTTTAAGTCATTCGTTTATCTCCATGAACTTTCGTTTCTTTCTCCTCTCTCTCTCTTTCTCTCTATCTCTCTCTCTCTCTCTCTCTCCCCCTCTCTCGATCTCTTTCCCCCTCTCTCTCTCTCACTCTCTTTCAGTTTCTGACTCTCTCTCCCCCTCTCCCTCTTGCTCTCTCTGCACGTTTTCTATCTCTCTTTATGACACTCTGTGTCTGTTTTAAGTCATTCGTTTATCTCCATGAACTTTCGTTTCTTTCTCCTCTCTCTCTCTTTCTCTCTCTCTCTCTCTCTGTCTCTCTCTCTCGATCTCTTTCCCCCCCCCCTCTCTATCTCTCACACTCTTTTTCAGTTTCTGACTCTCTCTCCCCCTCTCCATCTTGCTCTCTCTGCACCCTTTTCTATCTCTCTTTATGACACTCTTTGTCTGTTTTAAGCCATTCGTTTATCTCCATGAACTTTCGTTTCTTTCTCCTCTCTCTCTCTCTTTCTCTCTCTATCTCTCTCTCTGTCTCTCTCTCTCGATCTCTTTCCCCTCTCTCTCTCACTCTTTTTCAGTTTCTGACTCTTTCTCCCCCTCTCCATCTTGCTCTCTCTGCACGTTTTCTATCTCTCTTTATGACACTCTATGTCTGTTTTAAGTCATTCGTTTATCTCCATGAACTTTCGTTTCTTTCTCCTCTCTCTCTCTTTCTCTCTATCTCTCTCTCTCTCTCTCCCCCTCTCTCGATCTCTTCCCCCCTCTCTCTCTCACTCTCTTTCAGTTTCTGACTCTCTCTCCCCCTCTCCATCTTGCTCTCTCTGCACGTTTTCTATCTCTCTTTATGACACTCTTTGTCTGTTTTAAGTCATTCGTTTATCTCCATGAACTTTCGTTTCTTTCTCCTCTCTCTCTCTTTCTCTCTATCTCTCTCTCTCTCTCCCCCTCTCTCGATCTCTTTCCCCCTCTCTCTCTCTCACTCTCTTTCAGTTTCTGACTCTCTCTCCCCCTCTCCATCTTGCTCTCTCTGCACCCTTTTCTATCTCTCTTTATGACACTCTATGTCTGTTTTAAGCCATTCGTTTATCTCCATGAACTTTCATCTCTTTCTCCCTTTTTTTTTCTCTCTCTCCCCCTATTTCTCCCCTCTCTCTCTTTCTATTTACATATCTCTTTTTCTTTCTCTCACTCTCTATGCTGGTTTCAAAGGAGTGGATTGTCAATATAAACTTTTTTGTAAAACCATTCATGCCCTATTTCAATTTGAATCTTCAATTATTAGAATAATATTTATATAATTTTTATCAAAAGCAAAGATAAATGCATGCAGACCATTAGGATTGCACATATTATATAACACATAAAGTCAAGTTCTGGTATCTGTCTTTCTTAATCCGATTACGTTTTGAAAGAAACTGTGTGGAAAAAATGGGCCAAGGCTAATCATCATTACACATATTCTGGAAACGTCACAATGAGATGAAATTGAGTCAGTTTTGATGAAAGTCACATTGACTGCGAAGAGAAATATGTATAATGAGTTGACATCAACCACGCGTGGCATGCAGTGTGATAAAAACATTTCTGCTCTTTCAAGGGCATTTGAAGAGCCATCCTTTTAACGATTTTTCCCTTTAATTTTCTTCCAAAATGATGTCCAAATAAAGTAAAAGATAGCCAATTGATTGTCACCTTTCCCTTAGCGAAACCTTTTTGAAATAGGGTAATTATGATGGAATGAAATAGAGAATACTCTGTAAACATCGTTAGAGGGACATGACAATTTTTTTCAATCTATATTATTTCCTTCATTTGAACGTATTAACCTGGTTGGTATTCCATAGAATGTGTCTACAATGTATTTAAGATAAGATTTATCGTAGCAGGTATTACATGCCTGAATTAAATATATGAGAATATTATTATTATTAAAAAAAAAAGAATTTCTTATTAATATATCTTGGCCTATTTATAAAAAGGTGAAGGGCTCAACTTTTTTTTGAGAACCGGTTTTGAGTTCAGAAAAACAATTTGTGATAAAGTAGTGACATGTTCTTCAGGTAATAAACAACAAATATTTATGAACAAAATACTTTAGCCCCTTTTGATGAAAACATCACGCTTCATAAACTTATCACAGTGTCATTATTGATGTATTGCTATTGTTCTACAATATCATAACTGTTAATATCATAATATCATTATAATTATTATCTTTATTATTATTATTACTATTATTAGTGTGGTTCCTTTTGTTATGAAAAGATAAATTTATTCTGTAATAATTTAGATACACGATATATGAATATACAAATAATATCATTATTATTATTATTACTATTATCATTATCGTATCACCATCATTATTAGAGCTAATATAACGTTTTGGTATAGGCCATGAATATGGTTCAAATGAACATATTGGAAGCACATACGATCCTACAATATTCAATGATCGTTGTCGCGGTTGAAATCGAGTCTAAAATGATTAAATTGTAAATATAAAAACTCTTTATGTTGTATAGCTCCCTCTCAAGGTCAAGATATTAATTTAGCTTTAAAACAATGTTTCTTGACTAAAATCAACCGATTGGCTAATGTCGTTTGGAAATTATATATCACAACTGCATATTCTGAGATTGTCATGGTCGCAGCTACCATTGGATGGCCGTATGGGCGCTATTTGAAATTTATCGAAATTTACCGGGAGCACCGGTAAATTTTGATATTCGATTTTTCTCAAAAGCAGAAGTTTTTAAGGGCTAAATTTTCTAGTGCTTATAATACATCCTCATGGGCATCCAAATATTTCATCATTTTAAAGAATCGCATTACCTTTAAAAGAAGTAATAGTATATAGTAGTAACAACAGCAGTAGTAGTCGCATTAACATAACTATTACCATATATTGATAAATACAAAATATTATAGAATTGGTAGCTTCTTCCTCTTTAATACATGCGACTTAATGTATGACCTCAACACATCATTACAATTCACGATTTTACAGTTCGTATTCATAGCGCCCTACTTAATATATGTAATTCAATATCCATTGATTATAACGATATTCATAATAATGTAGTTGAAGAATTCTTACATATGTAATTTAAATGACGAACCTGTTCTGGTGCTTTAAATGAATGACTGTGCAAATAGCACGTAAGTGGCAGGATGCATGGAACCTGCTTTTATTAAAATGAGAGTCGTAATGCTGTTCACGTGGTCGGTATGGTTTATGCAACTTCAAGGCAAAGTGAAAATAGTTTTAATCAAGTTTTAATCAATTAAACTAGTAGGAGTGGAGAGGGGAGGAAGAAGGCGAGGAGGAGGAGGAGGAGAAGAAGGAGAAGGAGGAGGAGGAGGAGGAGGAGAAGGAGGAGGAGGAGAAGGAGGAGGAGGAGGAGAAGGAGGAGTATTATTGAAGGTGCATAGTAGTAATAGTAACATTATTAGTAATAGTTGTCGTAGTAATAATAGTAGTGATAGTACGTGTAGTAGTATATGTAGTAGTAGCAGTAGTAGTAGTAGCAGTAGTAGTAGTAGTAGTAGTAGTAGTAGTGGTAATAGTAGAATTAGTA